AACCTGGTTGCCGAGTTCACGAAGTGAATTCGGCTTGTTGTACAAGGTCGTTGCCAAGCGACGAAACCCAATCCCGATGGCAAACACCGGNGAACGGAGGTAAAAAAAATAGAATGGTAACCTGGTTGCCGAGCTCACGAAGTGAATTGGCTTGTTTTACAACGTCGTTGCCAAGCGACGAAAACCCAATCCCGATGGCAAACACCGGGGGGGAGCGGCTTGTTTTACAAGGTCGTTGCCAAGCGACGAAAACCCAATCCCGATGGCAAACACAACGGGGGGGGCGGGGGTGGCGATTTCACTGCCGTTGCGCGCCTCCTCGGGACGACCTGTGCACGTGTACGTAAACTCGAGGCCGTTTGCTTCCGTTTCCCGCGCCATCATACCCTCGATTGTCACCGTCTTATCAATGATCTATCAAGGCGACCCCCTTCTAGGGCGGCTTCGCGAATATTTCCGTGCCAGTTTGGCCGCTTCCAACGTGCGGACCCACGTATCTTTTTTGTTTTGTTTCTGCACCCGTGCTCTGGTGTGTTGCTGTCATGCGTGCATTTGCTTTTTTTGTTTTGTTCAGACCGGGGGGGGCGTCGTACCCGCGTTCTTCGACCCCTTCTTCCTCAAGGGCCAAGGCTACGAGATGAACCACACGGTGAGCATAAGCCTTCTTTGCCCCGATGCCAATATAGCACTCGTCTACGCCCCGCTCTGCGTTGCCCTAGAACCTACCAGTACTGTACCGGCAAATACTAGCAGAGGCCAAGTTTATCAAACAGGTGGTAAATAGCTTGCTTCCTAGCACATACTACGCCCCACCAACCCCTCATTCGGCTTTTGACGAAGTCGGTCACGTCTGCACGTACGGGCCTCAGGTGACGAAGAACTACGTAATTCAGAACGACATCCCGTTCACGTTATCGGTCAGCTCTTGCGCTAGCCCGCACGTACATCCGGGCTGCAACCGGTTGGCGGACATCGGCGGCCTGACGTCGCTGCAGCGCCAGGAGTTCTCGGTGCGTTCACTAATGTAGTAAGGACAGGGTCTCGTGACGAACGTCTACTTGTCATGTCCCCCGCTGACCACTGAGACTGTCATGCGCGGTCCTCTTTTGGCCCTGCCCACCTGCCACGGAGCTTGTGCGTCAGCGTTGGCGTGTGTCGTCGGTACGGAGGCGACTGTTTCTCGCCCGATCGCAGTCTTGAATAGACGCTCACGCTCGAATGATTTTGACGAACGGCATCAGCGCTCCGGCATGTTTTCCTGCCGCGTGCGAAATGCCACGATCCCATGCAGGTGCCGCCACCGCCTCAGGTCGTGGATGTCGGTTGTTGTGGCATGAAGAAACCCAACGCTCGGACAGAGCCAGGAAAGACCGAGATCAACGTGGAGTTTTCCTTGATGTGAGACGCGACTACTGTGCTTGACTCGTGGTCATTTTTTTGGTCAAAATATGTAGCTTGCGAACGACCGTGGAGGGAGTACTGTGCACCGAGCATTCCACGGCAGCACATCGATGAGCGTTCTCAGGGTAGAGTTGGGCGAAGTTCTGTCATTCGAGAGGTATACACGTTTGCCGGGCGTATGGCGAAGGTCGGACCAATCAGAAACGCACCGCGAACCAGGTGCAGGTTTCCCGTACTCTTAAGTCTCTCAGGAGGATGTATTCACGAAACGGATGCTACCACGTACTACCGCTTCATCATGTTCTTTGGTTAATATTTTCGCCCTTTCGGTGGAGCGATCTCTAGAAGATCCAACACTTTCAGGTTTCTACGGGCAGGCCCCAAAACTTGGGCGTGGCTTCCGCCGATGTGGGGCCGCGCACCATCACGTTGATGCAGAAGTCTATTGTACAATCGGTGGTGATATGCATACACGCTGATCATGTTACTCCATGTAACTTTTTTTTTACTATATCTTGTGCCGCACACACCTCCTGCCCCCGCCCCTCACGTTGACGCCAGCGGGATCGAGCTTCATGCCCGCGTGAAATCGGATACTGGCCAGGTAATGCTGCAGCAAGCGGTACCCTTCCTTCGCCACGAGGGCGGGCCCCCGCCTTATGCAAGCTTTTAGCCTTCAGTCTGTGTCTTGTCCAAAGGGGGGAATCCTTACGGCTGAGACTCGCAACCAGCAAGGCTGTGCTGTCTTCATGGAGCTTGCAGCTGGTATCGCTAGGTCACGTTTCGCGTCACATTTTTCACCTCCCCCTGTATCGAATTGCCCGAACAAGCGTGAATTGGCAGGTTGCCGTGGTTGGTCTTGTTGAAAGTGACACTCCTCTAACACATGAGCCGAAGAGCAGGCCTGCTATAATACTGTTGGAGATTGCAACGCAGGATTACCCTAGATGGGATGTCACATTTGTTTTCTGTCAACGCCGTAAAGAAACCAGCTGTAATTATAGCTCCCCGGGATAGTGATATCCTCCCAAAGAACTTTTGGGTGCTGTCCAGATGTCGGGCGTACCTTTCGCCGGGTGTCGCGAGTCGCTCCCGCGTATTTGTTGTTCGTCGGGTACACGACGTTCGGAAAAAGCGCGCGGAGATCGGTTTTTGATGTGGGTTGGCGAGTCTCGTGCAGCATGGTTGTCTAAGCGATTCGTTTAGATAAGGGATAAGCGTCCGTTGGTGGGTACCCGAATGATTGCGAATGATCCGAGTGCCAGCTTCTTTTGTTGACGGCAAACCAATGCTCATGTAAATGTTCAAATTCGTGGGCCTTTCTTCTGCGCGTGGGGTGCTGAACAAGCGGGTGTGTCGTACAACCATACCTTTGGGACACGTTAGCTGAGGGTGTTTCGGGCGACGAGAAGTGTTCATATATTTTCCGAAACAAGTTATTTTTGCTCAACGAAGGCGTGCCTACCGGCGGAAAAATACGCTGGTATTTTCCATTGTTCTGGGTTAAAGAAACTTGAGGCGGGGGGCCGTTAGCGTGAATTTTCTTAGGCGGCGTGAAACGTTCGTCGAATGACCCACAATCGTTACCTGTTATCGTCAAATGCGTCGAACCACAAAGAGTTGAACACCAGCACAGCGAGAGCCACTGGAGGCACGAGAAAACAAAACTTCGATCGGTACGACCTGAGGACCTGTACTATTCGTTGCCCTAGTCTCGTGCCTGAAACCTGTCACCAATGCGCTTGGCGTTTTCAGAGGACACACCCGGGTGCGAGAGATGAGTCAGTTGATGCTCATCTTTCTATCTCTTCACACTCCGCGCATCGTGCTGTGCGGCATGACAGACCTCGTGCGGAGCATCCCGCATCAAAATTTCCATGGTAGTGTGTGGGGCGTTGCCATTGCTTCTGATTGCGTGCGCCCATTGGGGCCAAGTCGACGATCGCGGTGCGAAACTTCCTCTGTTGGTCTCAGTGCGGGAAGGTGGGTGTGTACGAGCTTCAGGCCAAGATGTATAATTCGGGGTATTTCTGACGAACAATTGGGCACGTGGTCCTCTACGTGCTCTTTAGTCTAGAGTAAGAGAGAACGGTGACCTTAAATATTCACTCGGAATTTGCCGCCACCTTCAGCGGCTGAATAATTTTCCCGAACACGACGTGCTTCGCATGCAGGGCAACAACCGGTGTTGGCGCAAACTGCTCGAACTGAGATGGGAACAGTCACTCCTCAAACTCCGTGAATATGTATGGAAATGTGGTGTCTGATCAGAGTGATACTGCAATAGAGGCTGCGACAACATGGGATCGCGCTTCATTTGTTGGTGAAGAATATATTGTCCCAAACATAATTACCAGTAAAGATTTCGATTTGAATATGTCTGGGGGCTCGTGTGTGAAATCGCTAGCCAACCTCTGTCGACAAGTGTGCAACAACGACGCCTGCATCTCGGATCTCAAGCGCCAATTTCTCGTGTAACACTTTATTGATAAAAAAATTCAAAAACGCAAAATTTCGGACTCAATATGGCGTTTGAGGTCAGATATGTTTGTGTTGTGAAAAATGAAAATTCGATGTTGCGTCACGGGAAGGCGGTAGGTACACTGCTGTGCTACACGTGCTGCAAGGATTTACGGACACAGAGGTCAACATGGCCTGAGTGCAAAGTAGACCGACCCTCTGATACAGTCCATACGAGTATCAGGTCCATGGCGAAACAATTGAACATATTTGCACGAAGTGATCAAGCAGGAGCATGGAGACGTCCCAAAGGCGGTGGGATCTTACACACACGGATCTGCAGACCGTGACCCACCTCCTGCTGTTGTTCTAGTATCTGGTTTGCGCAAGATATTCAGCGGTCCCTTGCCCTCTTGTCGAGCGTGGAATCGAAGAATGCTATCCAATTAATGAATCTCATCGTTTTCCTTTCATTCCCGAATGAGCGTGTTTACTCACACCCTGCCCTTCACTCCATAGATTTTCTGATACCACCGGGGTGACGCGGATAAGTCGGAACGTGGCGACTTCTGCACCCGCCAACAAGGGAGCCTTCGCTAGGTTTCGATGGACCAGCCCAGGTCACCATGGGGAACTGCTACATATTCGCATGCCTTCCACGTACGGCGCTTGCCTTTGAATCTGCTGCAAAAACCTCACCCGTCTTTTCCGTGTCGATTGTGACAGTGCAGATTCACTTTTTGATTCTGTCATGGCGTTTGAAACAAGAGGTTGTCCGCTGCCCACACGACGGCATGAGTTGGAGATAGCGGCCAAGGCAAGCACAACAGCACATGGAGGGGCGAAAAGATAGGGGTACAATCCTACAGTGTGTAGAACTTCTATGAAACATTGACTAGACAAACCGGAAATCAGGGCGCGCGCAGTTGTCGTGAGTTGATTTCGGAGATCTGCTTGGTTTACGAACACGAAATGTATGAACAGACCCGCTCCGCGACGGGATCCTTCACAGAGGGCGACGTAATATAATACGTCTACAGTAAGTAGGGGTGCGTTGTCCAGTTCACCCATGATGGGTGACCAGAGAGAGAGTCTGAGGATCAATAAGAAAACAGAACCATAGACTAGTCTATACAGATAGTCTAGATACATACGAAACGAGCGGAACTGAAACACATTACATAAGGATTCGGGTGAGAGAAACTGGAGTCGACGCAACCCTCTCATCCGTCCCCGCTAGATTAGGGAGCAGCAGCTGACATTCACCTAGCATGGGTGTAATGCGGTACGTGCAGTGAGAAAACGATTAGACTAATAATAATGCAGAATTCGAAGCCGTTCGAAGAGAAAACTCAAATATGTGGTAGGAAACGGCCCTACGAATACAACCGGATGTACCTTAAATGCTTTGTGGTGGCGCCGGACTGAGCCAAGAGTGAATAAATGGTACAAAGTGTACAGGGTGTGACGAATGGGGCAGGGCAGGGGATTCCAGGAGGGTTGCACACGAGGTGGGGACTGCAAGCAACCCCACCATTTTTCGTTCATGGCATCCAAGGCAGGCACCTATGTGGCAACTCAGCGGGTGCCCCAACTCTTCAGTGCTCGTAGTACAATCGGCACCCGAGTTTAGAACGCGACCCGTTGTACACGAAATCGTGCGTCGCGTGCGAAGTCACCTAGAATGGGCTTGCAGGATATCCGTCAGTACTTGCTGCTCTGTGTGTGGTGTCGTCAAGTTCCAGACCAGGCGTCTGGCTGGCAAATACCGCAGCATGCCATCTCTCGCCCCCATGATATCCCTCATCATCGCGCATGCGGCTATCACTGTCCTCGAGCAGCGTAGGCGATATTCGTCTTTTGCGAAACCGTACTCTTCTGGAGCTGTACAAAAGTTCAACATGAGCGACAATGAGTTGATAGGTGCTCGACACTACCGCTACGTCCGCAGCACAAACGATTGAGGCCACCGATGCGCAATATCCCCAGTTCGACAGCTGCACTGCTGTATCGCGAGGTCTCCAGCGCGCCGACACTTTCGATAGAGGGGGTGGGCATATCCCAAAACAACTTCGGGAGGTTTTCAGTTAACAATCCTAATCGTTTAAAAACGCCGCAATACAGCAAGCCGCTACAGACAGCAAGCCTTGCATTTACCAGTCGTGAAGAGGAAGGTGAGATACATGAACTACGAGTATAGAATATACGTTTATACATAGTGCAGGATTTCAGCTCGAAACGCTCGATGGACGCCCCCGCGTAACAACAAAAGTTGCCACCACAACGGGGTACACACGCGACGTAGCAAGCAATGACATGCAGTCTGGCCTGATCGACTCGAACACCTCTCAATAACGACCTAGCGACTCACACATCCTATCCCCCCGAAGACAATATTACGTTCTTATCTTGCGTTGGTCTCCTTGAAGTCGACATACGAGGCAAGGACGGTGTCAACTGGGCCAACACCTCCCCAAGTTGGAGCCAGACTACTTGTCCAGAACCGCACGGAGTCGTCTCTGCTCGGAAATCCTGCAACAGCCCTAGACTACCGTATATAACACAAGATAACACACCCCCTGGACCGATCTTCAAAGCTCGATTTCTCCACGACGAAGAACATGCATATACGAAACAGTACATTTTCCAAAAGCTCTCAACAAGACGGTTTCAACGCCGCCATTTTTGGCGCTGTGACTGTTCCTGCAGTTGAGAAATCGAGCTCCGAAAATTGGTCAAGGGGGTGTGGTATCTTGTGTCATATACGGTTCTCTTATTCAAGCGACGCTTGCTTGGCAGAGGCCGCAGGCCACAGAGCAAGACTTCCGGGGCGGGAGCCTGCGCTTCACAACTTGCAACTCTATTCACAATGCCTGCGGCTACTGGTGAGGTACGGGATATTGAGGACGACCGGCATGAAATGGGGCCGTCACTGGCCTGAGACGTTTGCGGCCTACGCCACTTATTTATCGGGTGAGACTGTTTTGGTGATGTATTAACTTCACGGGAGGTAGACCACCGTCTTTCACACGGACGAAAGAGGGAATGCTCAAAGAGCGGCTCCCACAGCAACGAGGGGCCCCGTGACTCATCGCGGTGCCCCCTACCAAACGGCAATCTGACCAATCTGCGCGACACCAAATCATATAGCACATAAATGTATCCAACACCAATGTTCGCAGACCGACGAACACTTTCTCAGGTTCCTCACGCAATTGACAAACCATCAATGGGGCAAGAACGCTCCTGGATACATCAGAAAATACCAACATGGCAACATATGGAGGGGAAACCCGGCGTCCTGGCAAAACCCCCCGAAAAAAACCCTACCACCACATAAGCCGTCGCCATCACAGCGGATCACAATGGCCGCACTTATTAGAAAGACCAAGGCGAAGACAAGAACGCGAGGAACTACGTTCCCCCGGACGATGGTCTGCCAACCCCCCCTACTCCTGCCATTGGTGCACAGACCGCAACAGTTAGACTATGCGCCTTTCCTCGAATGGAAAACGTTACCTCTCCCAAGTGCTAGAAACTGCTACAGCTACTCCGGCAATTTCCTCAACTTGCGCCGGTGGTACTGCAGACTGGCCCTGCTAAGGGTCTTGGTTAGGAGGTCCGCGTGTTGCTCCGTTGTCGGAACGAACTTGACCAACATATCCCCCGACCTAAACAATCCGCCGATGAAATGGAACCTCACGTCGATGTGTTTGTGCGACCTGAGCTGAGGAGGTTCTGCACCAACGCTATGGCCCCCTGCTTGTCCTCAAGGACCTGGATGCTGTTACCACTGGTCTCTGGGGCAACAAACGAAAGCACAGCACGCACAAGCAACGCCTCCTTGACCCCCTTCCCGGCAGCAATGTATTCGGCTTGCGTCGAAGACAAAGACACGATGCTCTGTGTCTTGCTACCATGGCTGACTACGGTACCTCCAACCGTCGTCGCCAACCCTGACACCGAACGCTTATCCTCCGTGTCGGCGTAGCTAGCGTCTACGTACACGGGCAGCCCTAGCCCCGATCCCCGTTGGTAGGTGATGCCGGGGTTCCTCGTCCCTGTCAAGTAGCCGAGGATCTTCTGTATGGCATCCCAGTGCCTCTTCGCCGGGGCGTGAGCGTGGCGCGCTACCGCACGCACAGCGAACGAGACGTCTGGGCGCGAGGCCGGTGACACTGCCGATGGCCTCATTCATCGGCCACTCCCCTCCCTTCTCGTCATCTCGCTTCGGTCCTATGGGGGATTCACTCAGCTCGTGGGACGCCAGAGCCGTCTCGAAGACGTCTGGCGAGTTGAGCATGAGGTCCACCGCACCCAGCAGGAAATCCTCCGCCTCTTCGTGCGCAGCGTAGGCTTCCTCCGCGCTCTCGAACACCAATTCTCGCACCGTCCTCGCCTCTAGCCCCTCCGCCACGTGAAGTACCGAGCATCCAGCGGGCGAACTCCTCCGTGCTGCTGACGTGCAGGCTCGCCACCGAGGCGAGCAGGGCTTCGGCGCTTGTCGGCGACGGGGGCGACTCGTACCGCGGGTTTCGGCGAGGGTTCTCCCTAGTGCGGCGGCTGGTGAGTTCCGCCGGCTTGTCGAAGCGGGCGAGCCGC